GGCCGCGCCCGACCACGCCCACAAACGGTGACAAAGCCACGCCCACCACGGTTAAACCCCGCCCACCGGACCAGGCCACGCCCCCTCCCGGACCAAGCCCCTCCCCCCCTTTTTTTTGGGGTCCAAATCTCATTTTTGAGGGTCCAGCCCCTCCCCCCTTTGTGCCCCTCCCCCTCTTCCCTTGGTTTGGGGTTTTTGGGGGGGGGGGTGGGGCAGTGGGGACCCCTCCCCATTTTTTTATTTTTTTTTTTTTTTTTTTTTTGGCCATGTCCATCGGGCACGGTGGGAGGTTTATAAAAGTGAGGAGAGGTCACACATCCCATCAAAAGTCACAAATAACTTTATTTTTTTTTTTCTGGTGAAAAAAGGGGGATTTGGGGGGCGTCGCTCCCATCAGCAACCCCCCCACTGCTGCAGCTTCTGGTACATGGCGAAGGCGGCTCCGGGGGGGCGCGGGAGGGCCCGGGGGGGCTCAGGGGGGGCGTGAGGGGGCAACCAGGGCCACCCCATCCCCCTGCCAGCCCCCCCGGCCAGCACCCCCAGCTGCGGCCCGGGCACCTGTTGGGGCGGCAGAGGAGAAGGTTGGGGGGGGGGGATTTGGGGTTTGGTCTCACCTGCGGGGGGAGCACAGGGCGGAATTTGGGGTCGGGTCTCACCTGCGGGGTGGGCGCGGGGGGGACCTGGACCCCTCTCCGTGGCCCCGGCGGGGGAGGCACGGCCAGGCTGACCAGGCCCCGGAAGAGGCGCTGGGCCTGTGGCACGTTCATGGCTAAAGAGGAGGAATTTGGGTCAAAAGAGGGGAAAATTGAGGGGTGGGGGGCGTGGAGTGACCCCTCCCTCCGCACTCACCTGCGGCCGCCGCCCCGCCCAAAGCGCTGCGGGCCGCGAAGGAGCTGCCCAGGAGCGCGGCCGCGGCCCGGGGGGCGTCGAACGGCTCGGGGGGAGCCCCCCAGGGACCCCCCCGGCTGCTGTGCAGGGTGGGGGTCGCCAGGGTGGGGACGCCCCCATCTTCATCCTCCTCTTCCTCATCCCGGAGCGCGGGGCTGGGCGCGAAACGCACCTGGAGAGCGGGAAGAACGGGGGTCCCCCAAACCGCCCCGGCAGTTTTGGGGGGAGTCCCGTGCTTACCCCGGCAACCCCTCGGATTTCGGGGGGTGGTCTCACTGCTCCCCGGTGCACCGGGGCCGCTCCCCCGCGGGGGTTTGGGGTGTCCCGTTCCCTCCCAGTCCCCCTCCCGCGTGTTCCCGTCCCGCACCCCCGGTGTTTCGGGGGTCTCCTCTCCCCCACCTGCCGGTTTCCCCCCTCGCGCCCGCCCCGCCTCAGGATCCCCCCGGGCGGCGGCGGCGGCGGCGCCGGGCCCGGGCCCGCGCGCGGCTTCATGGCGGCGGAAGCCACGCCCTCTTCCGCCGATGGCCACGCCCCCCAGCGCTGACCTCACAAACATGGCGGCCCCCGCCCCCAGCTGACCTACCCAATATGGCGTCCCCAACACGGCTGCGCCTCTCAAAGCCGCGAGTTCGAATCCCGCCTTGGCCGGAGCCGCTCCCGCCCCTCCAAAACCCCAGGTTTAATCGAGTTTTTCCCCAAAATTACCACGGCCCCTCCCCCGTGCTGTAAAAATTGCGGGTTTATTAAAAAAGGCCCCAAATAGCGCAGGAAGGGCGAGAGAGGTCAGCGTCACTCCCTCCCTTCCTCCCAATAAAGCAGCAGTGGTGCAGCGAGCGTGAACCCCCTGCCCGCCCCCTGAGAACCTCCTGCGAGCCCCCCGAGCTCAGGGCGGCCCCGGGGGCGGCCCGGGGGGCTGCAGGGACAGCAGGCGGGCGAGCTGCTGTGGGGTGGCGAGTGCCCGGAGCAGGAGGTTCTCCCTCTCCAGCGCCGCACGCCGCTCGCTCAGCTCCCGGATCTGCTCCCGCAGCGCCTCCACCTCCTCCCGCACCGCCAGCAGCAGGTGGGACTTCACCAGGTCCTGCGGGGACAGGTGTCAGGGTACCCCCAGAGTCCCCCCATCTCCACCCAAGTCCTACAGCCAGCTCCCACAGCCCCCATAACCCACAGTCAACCCTAATCCTAATTCAAAGGCCCCTAATGCCTCCCCTTCCAGGACCCAAAGCTCCCACACCCAGCTCCCACAGCCGCCATGGGGACCAGAGCCCCCCGCCCCCCGGGACCCCCCACCATTGCCACCCCCGGGGTCTCACCATGGCCCTCTCAATCTTGTTGTCGATGGCGGTGATGCCGCTCCCAGCGCTGGCACAGGAAGGGGACAAGGACGGTGTCAGACGGACAGATGGACACGGCCCCTCCCCCACCCTGGACACCTTGGGTGGGTGGGGGAGGGGCAGAGTTTCCTTCCCCTTTTTTTGGGTGGGGGAAGGGAACTCGCGCCCCTCCCTCGCACCTGCCCAGCCCCGCCCCAAACCGGAAGTCCCCTGACCGGAAGTTCCGTCTTACCCCTCGTCTTCGCTCTCCTCGCCAGCCAATCCCAGGCGCACGCTGAGCTCGGCTCCGCCCCCTGGGCGTGGCGAAGGGGGTTTGGGGGGCAGCGCCTGTAAACAAAGAGGGGTGGGGGGGTCGGGGGCGTGGTCACCTCGCCCCTGCCCCAGGAGACCCCTCCCCCTCACCTGCTGCACGAGCTGCGCGAAGGCCCCGAGGGACCGGGGCTGGTGCGGGGCGGGAATGGCCCGGGGGGCGTCCAGCGACACCGGGACCCTCCCCGCGCCGCCGCCGCCGCCTCCCCGCGGTGACGCGTCCCGCTCGTAGAAATCGCGGCACAGCCACCGGCCCCGCCGCAGCACCTCCCCGGGCGACAGTAAGCGAACGAGGCGGAACCGGGACCCGCTGGGGCTGCCGGAGGAGGAAGACGAAGAACCGGTCGCGGCGCCGGAGGCATCGCCGGGCGCGTTCCCGCTGCCGCCGCGGACGCTGGTGATGGCGAAGCCGCTTTTCTTGCGGCTCATGGGGGCGGCGGCGGAGGGAGGAGGAGGAACATGGTGGGGCCGGCCCGGAGCCGTTACCGGCGGTAGCGGCGGCAGGACCCGGAAGTAGGAACCGGAAGTGATGTTGCTCTTTAAGGTGTTGCCGGTCCGCACGCGGCCACGCCCCGCCCCTGGCCGCGCCTCCGTCCCCAGGGAGCCACGCCCCCCACGGCCCGCCCTCGAGCCACGTGACTGCTCGGCGCTGCCCGGGTCCTCCGCGCCGCCAGGGGGCGCCGGCGGAGCCGCGGCGCGTCCCGGACGCTGCGTCAGCGCCAATGGAGCGGCGCGAGCGGGAGGCGGGAGCGGCCGGTGAGGGAGGAGGGGAGGGATGGGGGTGGGCCCGGTGCCCCTCCCGCGCCCGGTGACCACCCGCTGCCCCTCCCCCGCAGGCCGCTAGACCCCCCCCGCCATGGGCCAACGCCCCCCGTGAGCCCCCGGCCCGGGCCCGGCCGTGCTGGCGGCGGTGGGGGGGGGGGTGCGGCGCAGGATTCGCCCCCCCCCCAACCCTGGGACCCCCGAGAGAGCGACAGGTAACGAGGGGCGGGGTGGGAGGAGGCCGAGAGCCCTGGGGGGGTGGACAGAGCATCCCCGAGTCCGGGCGGGGTGGGGGGGTGATGGGGGACCCCAGGGTTGAGGATAATTTGAGCGTTCGGGTGGGGAGGGGTAGTCTGGGGGTGCTGGGGGGGAGCGGACGGATTTGGGGGATCCCCAGCATCGGTGTGAGCGGAGGGAGCCGGGTGTCCACAGGCGCTCGGGTGGGTTTGGGGGCACCCCGGCATCACCGCGGGTGGGACCGGGTGGGGTTGGAGAACCCGACGGGCGGGGGTCAGGGGGACCCCAGGATCCCTTAAGGTGCAGGGAAGGGCAGAGGCACCCAGGCTCCGGGTGGGGAGGGGGTCCTGGGGGGACTGGGGGCTTTCGGGGAGGGCGGGCATTGGGACCTGAGCTCCAAGTGGGGCTTTGGGGGTCGCGGTGGGGAGGGGACATTGAGGACACTGTGACAGGTGGCACTGGGGGCACTGGGGGGGGGGAGGGGACACTGGGACTGGTTTATACTGGTCCATACTGGGTTATACTGGGTTATATTGGTCTGTACACGGTTTGTACTGGTTTGTACTGGTTTGTACTGGTTTGTACTGGTTTGTACTGGTTTGTACTGGTGTACTGAGTTATGCTGGGTTATACTGGTCCATGATGGTTTATACTGGTCCATACTGGTTTATACTGGTCCGTACTGGTTTGTACTGGTCCGTGCTAGTCCATGCTGGTCCGTACTGGTTTATACTGGTCCGTACTGGTTTGTACTGGTCCGTGCTAGTCCATGCTGGTCCATACTGGTTTATACTGGTCCATACTGGTTTATACTGGTCCATACTGGTTTGCCGGCCATGGAGGCCCCCCTGGAGGCCCCTGAGGATGATGAAGGTGACG